GGAAGGAAATTGTCATGCTGTGGCATTTGTGCCATGTTTCAATTATACACCGCACACAATTTTATATGTTATTCAAGGGAGACCCTACTGATCAGATTTACATGGAAGTGGAACTTCGAAGATTGCAATGGCTGGAGAGACACTTCTCGGATCTTGGCAATGCAAGTCCGGCACTTTTAGGCGATGAACCTGCAGGCTCAGTCTCAGCTAGGTACATACATCCCAAGTAGTTTTAATCCTCTTATAAGACTAACCAAAAGTACTTGTAATAATCTGCTGATATATTTATTAATTTGTGAACTTGTGACAATATGTTTGCTTGGATGTATGGATTTTGCAGCATCAAGGCTCTAAAGCAAGAAAGAGAATATTTAGCTAAGAGGGTGAGTTCTAAACTGACAGCAGATGAAAGAGAAATGCTATATGTGAAATGGGAGATTCCACCAGGAGGAAAACAGAGGAGGCTGCAACTGGTGAACAAATTATGGACAGATCCTCATAACATGCAACATGTACATGAAAGTGCTGAAATTGTTGCCAAGCTGGTGGGCTTCTGTGAATCTGGTGAACATGTTAGCAAGGAGATGTTTGAACTCAATTTTGCACACCCTTCTGATAAGAAGACATGGATGGGCTGGAACTTGATATCAAATCTCTTGAATCTGTAAAACAGTAGTGTAAATTTTTTTGTTATGTAAGCTGTGCATCCAGGAACAAGAATTGTGATGTATGTACTAATTTGCAATTTCAATGAATGTAAATGGTTATTTTAGTAGTAATATTGCCAACCCTAAGGGCTTGCTTGAAAGCCTCGCCGCCTTGGAGTAATCTTCCGGTGCGACCGTCACCATGGATGTTTGTTACACTCGGATATTACCATGGTTTTTCTTTTGTTTGAAAACTGAAATAGAAATACAACACGGATCCTCTTTAAATCCCTAGAATGAGAAAACAAATATACACACAGCTCAGAATATATATTACGAATACAAAACCGCCTGAATTACATCCAGCAATTAATAAAAATTTGAGGCTCACCAGAGAAATATTTTGGACTGAACTGTGGGTGGTCTTCACTTGTCATCGCCGTGAAATCAAAAGAGACACCTTCAATGATGCTCAAAAGGATAGTTATGCATGTATCGCTTCAATCGAGGCTTCATTACAGCTTATGTAATTAGCTCCAAATCATGCTTAGAACCATAGATGGCCAAAGGGTTTAAGGGTCTCCCCATAAATTGTGGCTTTGGCTTCCACTTCCAACACCAACAAACTTCGACAATCAGATAGAGTTGAAGGAAAAAGAAAAACAAGGAAAAGTTAGGAGCAATGGATGCTGTGTTGAGGGCTGTGGTTTTGATGAGCACATGCTTGTTCTTGCAATAGCTCAAGTTGATATCAACCCTTCTTATACCAATGTGGCTCAAAATGGCAAGACTCTTGGTCAAGTTGAGGATGTCTCCGATCCTTCCAAATGGCCATCTTATTCCTTGTGGTGTACGATGTGCGACAAAATGCATAATAAACCTAATATGCTTCGGCATGTGCATGATTAAATGCAAGTTCGGACCTTCGGATGTTGTGCATAATTGTACACATAATTGTGCCAACTCCATTGCCACCACAACTACGTCTTCTCGTAATTCTCTCTCTCTCTCTCATTTGTTTGAAATTATATTTCGATCACTGATATTCTTATTTTGGTTTTATTTAATTGACATTATAGATAAGCGCTATATGAAAGGCTTCGTCGATTCATGATGCTATAAGAGCTGCTCCAAAAATAACCATATTAATTAAAGTATTGGCTACTTAGGCGTACTTGCATGCAATACGAAGGTCTTGCTGCAGAAAATAAATAAGGAATTATGTGTTGCATTTGTAATAATTTTGGTTTGAAACAATAATGAGACTTACTCAATTACTACTTATATTATGTCGTGGACTTTCTTTCTTTCTTTCTCTATGTTTGTGTATTTTTCTCTCTAATGGAGCTGAAAACACATAGAATTTTGCTTGCACAACAATTAACAGATGTTCCATACAATCAAAATAACATCATTTCAAGTAAGCAAGTTCCTTACGAATGAGGTGTTAGTTGAATTGACCCCAAACGTTTCATGCACTCCCAAATAATCCTAAATTTAAGCCCCCCATAATACCTATATGCGTGGATTCCCCCCTCATTTTCGGCCATATAAAAAAAAAAGTTTCGTTTACCAACCAAAAAAGAATTAAGGGGTATATAGGTGAACACGGCCTTGAATTTATAATTTACCCAATCAAAAAAGAAAATCCAAGAAAGGAAAAAGAGAAAGAAAAGGAACGGAAGTAAGGGGTATATAGGTATTTTGAAACGGCTGTAATCGTTAACGCAAAAGTATAGGCCAGAGTGAACCAAAACCCTCAAACCCTTTTTCGCTCCCGTGTTGTTTGTGTGCTTGCAAGCTATCGAAACTGAAGGAGAGACGACGATACAAAATCTACGGAGAGAGATTATTCGAATAAACAAAGAAGAAAAGAAACCCAAATCGGAACAATGGGGAGAGAGGTTCCACAACAACAGCAGCAGCAGGTGGCGTTGGCGGTGGAGCAGCTGCTGGCTGTGAATCCGTACAACCCCGACATGCTTTCCGATCTTGAAAACTACGTTAACGAGCAGGTATGTCTCTGTATCTTATTGATGAATGAATGCTAATATTTGGGTTAATTAGTTTTTAATTGAATTAATTATTGATTGATTGATTGACTGGCCTATATTTGTTTTTCAATGTTTTAGGTTTCTTCACAAACTTATAATCTCGATGCCAATCTCTGCCTTCTTCGCATCTATCAGGTAATAGGAGAACTGGGTTTTTCTTTAAAAATTGGTTTGTGTTTTAGATTCTGTAATTTACTGCAAAACTAATCTGTCTATTTTTTTTTCCTGGGTGCAGTTTGAGCCGGACCGGATGAGCACTCAAATTGTTGCCCGCATCTTGGTTAAGGTTTGCATTAAATCCTATTGCTGTAAAACGTTTCTTTTAGTTTTATTTTTAATGCAAAAGTAAGAAATTTGTCTTATTTGTATGTGTATTAATGTGCAGGCACTGATGGCAATGCCCTCCCCTGATTTTGGCCTTTGTCTATTCTTAATCCCAGAAAGAGTGGTATAAGTTCTCTCATTTTCTTACATACCCGGTTGGAATTTCATTATTTTTGTTAACATGAGTGACAAAGTGTTCAAATGGGTTCTGCAGTATGTATGTGTGTGTCAAAATTACAAAGTGGTATCCAAGTTCCTCGGTTATTCAGCTCTGATTAGTTTCGTCATCTCTTTATGTTTTGCAATGAATTTCATTATCAAAATCTGAGATTGTTTTGGATGTTGAATCTTATTGAACTTTTTTGGTCAATGAATGTTTTTCAGCTAATCCCCTCTTTTGTTTTCTCTAATTCTTTATCAGCAAATGGAGGAGCAGTTTAAGACACTCATTGTCCTGTCTCACTATTTGGAGGTATATGTGGTGTCTGTGGTCTTTGGATTCAGTACTTATGCATGGCTTACAAAGCTACTTCTTCCTTTTGCAGACCGGGAGGTTCAGTCAATTCTGGGATGAAGCATCCAAGAATCGTCACATAGTTGAAGCTGTCCCAGGTATACGGTTTATGGAATTGTTATGGATGATGTCCTGCTACTGGTTTTGTTACCAGCATATTTTCAGTATTGTGTGTTTATGTTATGTGGTATGTAATGCGCTTACAAGAGAATTGATTGCAGGTTTTGAGCATGCAATTCAAGCCTATGCAATTCATGTTCTTTCCTTGACGTACCAAAGGGTTCCCCGATCTGTGCTTGCTGAGGTATCTGCTTCAATTTTATACATATCACATTTTGTTTAGGAATACTTTTACTCTGGGAGGCCTTAAAATATCCTCAACTGCTTTGTATACTGTCTGCAAGACTTATATTTAGTTGTGGTGTACAGGCTATCAATATTGAAGGCTTATCCCTGGACAAATTCCTTGAGCACCATGTAGCCAATAGCGGTTGGATTCTTGAGAAAGGTCATGGAAGGGGTCAACTCATTGTCTTGCCTCAAAATGAATTTAACCATCCAGAGCTGAAAAAGAGCACAGACGATGGCATTCCATTAGAGCACGTGGCTCGTATCTTCCCCATTCTAGGTTGATAATCATTTCTGCCGATTTATCTGCTGCTGGACTTTTCTTCCCATATTTCCAGCACGAGCTTCAGCATTCTCAGACTACTTGCAGCTATAACTTCAATGATTATTTGGTCATCTGTAGCTTTATTTTATTCTGTTTGCCTTTTGAGTTTATGTTGAAAACTAAAACGCGACCTGCGGGATTCCTTTTGTAGAATTTTATTTGGGCTATCAATTTTCTCATTAAAAAACCATCTCTATACCTCCTGTCCCGCTACGCTCTTCTTGCTTTCGGCTGTTTTGGTCGTTTGGGTTGACCGCTGCTCTTGGCAGTTTCAAAGCTTTGCATTTCTGCTTGGTAATCTGCACCAACAGAGTCACGGGGCAAGGCAATTGGCATCGAGGGGTTTTCCACACAACTCAAAACTCGTCGGACATTTTCTTAGAAATTTTGGTCGAACTACCACTAACGTTTCGAGTCAATTGACCATGGTGGTGAATTATCACTGGTAACCTCCATGTGGTAAATTTGTAATCAGTAAAAATTGTTACTTTCTTCAATAGTCATGTAGTCTTTGTTCTCTATACGTTGGGGATGGAAACAGTTCAGTTCAAGAATTGCGGTAACAATTAGAGAATGTCATGCGTGTATTTCTGGATTTGGACAAAGTGTTCAAATTTGATGTGATGCACAATTAACTCAACTAAGCTGGATTGGATATTCCCGGGGTTCAGTCTCCATGATTTACCTATCTCAATAAAATCTATGATTGGTTCGAATGAATCCTTTACTTTTTACTGTCTAATGTACATAAAAGGGAATTAAACTCAGATATAAAGGAGCGGACACACTGACTTGAATATTGAATCTTTTATTTGGCCGATTTGGACACAATTTATTTTTGCATTTAGGGATACATTTTTCAGCCTTCAAAGTACAGCACACAATGAAGTCTTTCAATCAAACGCCAAGTCGTACAGGCTAAGGCCTAAAATTAGCGCTTAAAGGCAAGAATGGCTGCACCAGTTCTACAACAGTTGGATACTCCGCAACACTTACCCAACAATGTTAGTTTTATGCGGGTCCGCAAATTAACATTAAGGAAAATAAAGAATCAATGGCCTGCAATTCTAAAGTGGAGCTCCAACGAGCAAAATATTTACAAGATTAAAATCTATTATCCATGAACTGATGGAGGAAGAGCTCCTAAAGAATCTTAATTGTTGACTATTTACTCTTTTGTACTTTGGTATAGCTTCCGACTGAAATTTTCATGACGAACGAACTCAATGTTGTATCGTACATGAGGACCAGCACAATTGCCTCCAGGAATGATATCCTCCCAATGAATGTCGGTTCCACTGCTTTTGGTTCTCCCTTGCTCCCGATATCGCTAACATGCACTCTATAGTTTCTCATCCATGGACCAGCATCTTTGGAGAAATGGTTGAGCCAAATGAAGGCAGGAAATGTATTATTGAGGAAAAATGATTCAAACTTCAGTGGCAGAGTGTCTCTCCATAGTTGACCCAGTTCACAAAGCTATCTGGATATTCCTCAAGAACATTGGAACTCTCTCCGTTATTAAAGGATAAATTTGGTCCTGTCTGCTCCTTCCCCTACAAACCAAAAGGCAGCAACAGAAGGAAATATAAACATTTTGATGTCATATGTTGAAGCAAAGGAAAATATTTTCGAATGAACCAAATTTTATTGCATCTTTGAATTAATCAGTTGATTAACTATTGCTAATTAATAAATCAAAAAGGTTTTCATCCCAAAACTATAAATTGTTGTAAAACCAACACCAAATATTAAGTGTGATAATGTTTCTAGCATTTGGAAGGAAGGTTACTGACCTTCAAGCCGGATCCATATTCACTTGTAGAGGGGGTAGAATCCCCCATTATTCCATTAACAACATTCTCCGACGATAGTCCCTCAATTGGAGAGTTTGTCAGTATTGATGACCTGCAATCGTTACATCTCAAATCTCAGCCAAATTATAATGTTCTGCCCCCATCCCCAATTAAGAAAAGGAAGGAAATAACAGGCTTTTAGGATTTTCCATCCTCTATTAAGAATTCACAATCATTTGCTTCTTTCCCAGGATCAATAAGAACATAATAAATTCAAAGGTCAATCTAAAAAGTACCTTTCGAATGGCTCCTCCTCACAAGAATTCCCGGAAGAAGATAGCCAGTCTAGGTCAACAAAGTTTGAGAAGTTGTATGAATCTCCACGTTCAGAATAGTAGACATGATCACTTTCAAGGCACCGGTATCTCTGCAACTCTCCAAAAAGTTGCCTGCGAGGCATTGAGGGAGTGTACCTACAGACAAACACAGAAACATAAAAGCTGAATCAGCATCTTGGAACATCAAAATGACAACAAAAACTATCCTAAACTGTCTTCAAAAAAGTTTGAAACATGTGCATTGCAGGGACTTTTGAAAGGAGTAGTCAACTAAAAAATTAACAATAAACACTACCAGGAATACATGCTTCATTATCATGTCAGTATATATTTGTTATTATGGACGTACTAATATTCTCAATTCACTGAAGCTAAAGGAAGCAACAACAGAAGTTACCTAATCACATGATTCAAATAAAGACAACTGAAAGGCCTTATCTTATAAGAGTGAATACAAAAGGATTCATTTCACAAACAAATATATCATATTTGTAATGTATTATGTAAATACTGACAGGAGAGAATAAAGGATTCATTACAAAATTAAACTGCCTTCTTTACTTCCTAGTTTCTATCATGTGCTCTTTGACAAGTTTCTTCTCTTGATTGCTTTCCATTTTTAAGATAAATTACGTAATAATGCCAACTTGATAGTTTATCTCTACTTCACCACGTTTCAGCAATGCAAGCACTGAACACATAGCTGTTCCTTTTCTACATCTACCAAGAAAACTACAGAACCAAAACAAGACTGATGTAGGCAAACCTTGAATAGGCAATATCACTCTCAGAAGTTGATATATCGGGTGATGACTCTGAAAGAATCTTGCTTTCTTGTTGTGATGGATCTGGCATACAAGAGTTAGTAAATTTCTCCGGCTTAACATGTGGTGATGACATAGGTGAGCTGCTTTCATGAAGAATATTACCGTCGGAATAAGATCTTTTGAAAATGGACCTACAGATAAAAAGGAAATCAGTTGAGCAAATGGCTCAGAAATTAATATGCATGAGTCATAGATTGGTAGCAAAAATCTAAAAATATCAAACAAATGTTACAACCCATATATTCATTAATAATTATGATTCTTGTTAAGAAAAGGTTAAGCTTGTAAAAGTTCATTGTAATTTTTTCATAGAGATTGCACCTCTGAAACAACACAGGACACACCCGTCGGTTAGCACACAAAAAAGTGCCGATTAATTCCCCTTGGACATTTCAATTTTAAAAGCTTTTTTAACAGAAGGCTCCCGTGATGTGGCTTAAAACATAGAATGGGACAAAAAGATGATAAAATTAAGTTTATCCAACTATAGACCAAGTTACCAACATGCACACCGAGCATGACATGGAGACTCGAAGTAATTTATTCTATCTGACAGAAATGACGAATCTTGAGACTTTGATTAGGCTACTACATACCTTCCATCTAGATCCTTATCTTTTGGTTCATCCCTCCCAGAGTAATAATGCTGGTCTGAATCCAATTCCCACAATGCAGGTTTACCTTCTTGTGGTTGAAAATGCCCCAGAAATCTGCTCAAAATATTAAAGGAAAAATCAACATAAATCAACGAAAGGATCAGCTGACAGGAACTTCTACAGCACAACAGTTTTATTTCTGGCGTGGGCAGTAACAGAGATGACTGTAACTTTACATATAACCTTTATTAACAGCCACAAAAGGACTTCTACAATCGAATGAAATAATTTACACTTTTACAAAGCTGAGGTTTGAAACAGAAATTTTGATAGGGATTTATTTAACCAAAAAATATAAACATGTGCATGCATGCATACACGTGCTGGAATTCAGACACAGGTAATACTTAATGCAGAACTTACACATTAATTGCATCTTGCTTCTCTGCATCCATGTAAGCATTGCTGTAATACCGTTGAAGAGTTCTAAAGAACTCCTGAGACTGAGTTGCTGCTCTCCATTGACCCCTTCTCTCCGAAAATATCTATACAGAATTTCAATTTCAAGTGTATCAAGGAACCATAGACAATTAACGAATCAAGGTCACTATTTACCAATTATTTTTTGAGTTATAAAATAAAAATTTGTCTACAGGTGTTGGTATGTAAGGTCCATGACCGTATACCTAAAAATTAAGCAGGCCAAATTCTAGTCAACATTCAGATCCCAAAGCTTATTAGACTCAGTTCAACAAACAAACATTCCAAATCAAATTCCTCACCTTATTGTGAGCAGCTGAACCACCATACTGGTGCGCAAGTGTGTCGCCCATTCTTTCATAAAATCCCATCAAATCATCAGCCAAAGGAGCATCAAGGTCTATCTTTGGATTGTCTACAACTCCCAAAGAATGAAGCTGGTGTCCCAACGCAGCCAAGCCATATGCATACTGAGCAACATTTGTGCGATCCAGACAGTCTATGCAATTGGTCCTAAGCACCCCACTTTGGAATGTGGATGGCTTGACAGAATGATTACCATTTGCAATATTTTTGCTTCCACTAGGTGTCTTCTCTATGTTATCAGCATCCACATTACCATTAGCACTAAGTTCTTGGGGAGATAAATCACCATTTTCAAAATTCCTGTTCCATATTTACATTGTCAAAGTTCCATCAACCAGAATTCTTTTAAAGCAATGTACACTAGTAAACCTGTTATGAGATCATATTAGCTATCATTTTAGTTACATCTTTACGAGGTAATGAACATAGAAGCTCATGCCCAACAGGAAACTGAAAACTATTCCTCAGTTTTACAGCAACCAGAAAATTGGTTTCTCAGAGAGAATTTGTCGGACCTAAAATTTGTAAAAAACTTGCATGAAGAAAGATTATTAAAACTAGAAAACCATTAAATGAGATGGCAACTTACCCAGAGGAAGGCCACTTAATTACACCCTCAGGTCTCAGTGCTGGGTTAACTTGGCAATAGAAGAATCCAGTTAGCGTCAAGGCATATGTAGCCACCTTGCCCAAGAGTAGTAAAGCATTTGTAGCTTTGCTGGAATGGGAGGAGGAAACAAGGGTACCATTTTTCAGAAAAGATAAAATTCCGGAGTACCACATTATTAAAATAAATAAAAAACAAGCTTTACCTCCGAGAATGTTTGTGCAGATCCCAGTGAAGAAATTTAAGACGGTTCTCCTCAGATAAGTCTTTATTAATGAAATCTATTGCATTAGCAAATTCTGCACGAAGTATGGACTCTCGAGGCCTCTTCTCTTGAGTCTGTTGATTATTTATAAAAAAAAAAAAAAAACCATAAACAAATAAATAACAAGGAAATACATAAACAAAGAGGGCTACCAAAAGATAGCATGTCAAAATAATTTAAGAGAAAAAGGTGGATTCTAGGTTCAAATTCAGTTTCCTTCATGACATGCAGGTTACAGAAAGCAACATGATGAACAGCATCAACATAGAATTGGTCACTAAAGAAACTTTACCTTGATCAGATTCAATATGATAATGGGGTTCCCATATCGCTTGACAAGATTTTCAAAGTGAAGCCTAGTGGCTTCATAGTTTTGGTCCTTCTTTGACACTGGCAGGAGAAAAAAGTTAGTTACAGGAATTTACAGAATAACCTCAAGAGATACTGCATATGCAAGAACATACATATTATATCTGGTTTGATATTTAAACGTGATGTTTCCTGTGACCAAAATAGAGGGATTGAGCCACGGTTCTGAACGACAGAACTTATTTGCATCGGAAAGCCCTCAGGAACATCCTCAAAGACAATCTGTTCTGTCTCAACATCATTAGCTACTCTTCCCTTCTCATTAACACCACGTTTTAGATACCTACAAGAGTAAAGGCAACACATGAGGCATACACAATCTACACATATGCCCATAGACGCATAGTTGATTCATAGTTGTGGTCCTTCTTTGACACTGGCAGGAGAAAAAAGTTAGTTACAGGAATTTACAGAATAACCTCAAGAGATACTGCTTATGCAAGAACATACATATTATATCTGGTTTGATATTTAAACGTGATGTTTCCTGTGACCAAAATAGAGGGATTGAGCCACGGTTCTGAACGACAGAACTTATTTGCATCGGAAAGCCCTCAGGAACATCCTCAAAGACAATCTGTTCTGTCTCAACATCATTAGCTACTCTTCCCTTCTCATTAACACCACGTTTTAGATACCTACAAGAGTAAAGGCAACACATGAGGCATACACAATCTACACATATGCCCATAAGCATGTAAGCCTAGAAAGCTAATACTTAAGGTAACGTCAAATACAAGACAGCAGCCACATATAATGACAATATTAGGAAAAAAAAGAAAGAAAGAAAAAAGCCATAATCTGAACTGTGTTACACAGCTTCAGGCAATCATACGTTATACAAGAGAACTAAGAAGAAAATATCACATCACAAGTTTGACATTCAGGGTAAAGATTGTCCCATCACTTTATCTTCTTTTGAAAGCAAGGACCACCCGAACGTCCTTAAATATTTGAGAAACCACTGGTTTTGAACACAGGTTACCAGGAAGCCAATACAATTTTCTTAATCTATGTCAAAAGCATGGAATTGGATAAGAGAATCAAAGTATGAATGCCCCCTCACCTGGTGCCCGCATAATGACGTGAACGCCTTGCAATAAGGGTCAGTTTGAAGTCACGTCCAGATATAGAGAGAGTGGCCTACATTTAAATATCATCAAGCCATCAGTCCAAAATTCAATAGTAAAGCTTAAGAGGACGAACAGTCATACACCCAAGTTTTGCTGGCAATTTTGAAAAATGAACAGCTGGTAAAGATCTAAAAAAATTAAGAAATGCTGAAGCACATTCATTTGAACATATAATCTTCTACAGACTTTCAAAGTTAAACTCACCCACATACGAAAATTCAACCATGCACGTAAGATGTGAGCACCTTTGTATCAAAAGGCAGTAAGGTACTAAATCCTTTCTTTCTTTCTTTTTTTCTTTAGGAGGGAGGAGGAGGGGTGGAACTTAGTTACATGAAAAGAGCAACATTAATGAGTATCCCTGAAATTTTTGTTAACCTAACCAGATAAAGCATTAATTATTACTTTCCACACTGTCTAAACACCATTCAAACCTCACCTGTCTAAAGAAGCCATAAACCAAAGCAACTGTCCAAATAGTATTTTGAAGGTGATTCCGAATTCCCCGAGTTAAGAATTCATTCCAGACAAACATGGTTTCATAAAGGACATGTCCTGTCTGATTCTTACACATGTTCTTTTGCAGACTACGCATAACATGGTATGAGTAGCTGAAAAAGAAGTCCTTTGTAAGGTCCACTGTGCATAAGAGCTTCTTGTATCTAAGGCCATCAATGAAATAGAGAACATATTAACAACTAAAACCAGACAAAATTTAGATTAAAACATTTGGTAAAAAGAATAGCAAAAGGCAGATGTAATCGTGAACTCTAACAAAGGATAAGAAAAGATTTTACACAATGAACCTTGGTTACACAATGTTTCACCATAAATTGAAAAAAAGAAAGAAAGTAATAACTAAATTCTCAGAACTTTGTGCTCATATTTGTGTGATTTCACTTAAAAACCTCCTCTCCAGCTTCCCTTTCCACAATTCAACCAAAAAAATGAGAATCAATAATCAAAATTGTACAGATATACTAATCCTAATCTAGAAGCCTTCATAGAATATTATGACATTATGCTTGAAATCGTACATGTTACAAGTTAAACTGTTCTAAGAATAAGATATAGTTTTAAATTTCGAAAAAGGTTCAAATAGAGCAAGCCAGAAGAATGCCACATAAGAAAAAATATTTCTCAAAATACAGTACTTTTCCAAACAATGGTCATTGTTTCCGCAGACTAAATACATGTACAACCGGAATGGACTAACGACCTGTTTTCATTTTTAGAATTAGCGATATTGGACTGAAAAGAAGGATTTGGAAGTGGGATCATTTCACTCTTGGAGATGGCATACACCATGTGACCACAGATGGCACCTATCTGTCTTCTTTTCGTGATAAGAAGCATGTAATATGGCCCCAGAAATTTAATGAATCCTGAAACAAGCAAGCGACAATGAGCAGTGAAATCATTTTGATTATGCAATAAATGCACAAGATGTGATATCAAAATCCCATACCGACAATTCCGTAACAAGTAGTGACAAACTTCAATCCACCTGTGGCCTTGTTTCCTTCATTTATCCGCCTTAAGAGGTCAGAACATTCTCTTTCAGTGTACGTAGTAGAATCTTCACGAATGTTAAGCTCGCAAGGATCCAACCGGTCAATCTTTAGTACTCTCCAATAAGTTCTAGTCTTGTCCCTTCCAATCATGTAAAAGTTCTGCGGGGAAAAGAAAATGTATAAGTTGGTACTCTTATAATCCAATTCGCACAAAGCACAATAAACCATCTGAACTAATAAAAATGCAAAAATAAGTAAACATATCATAAATTTACAAAATTTTAGATTCAATCAAAAACCTCCCCGAAAGAAAATGGTTCATATAAACCAACGAAAACACATTGCCGATTCCAACTTTGCCATTAAACAATGAAAACAATATCAGCCCACCAAAATATTGAAGAATCCTTTATGGAATATAACAAATTGCAATAGACTGAATATAAATAGATCTTCATTATATGAAACAAATAGAGCTGAATGAAATTACCGATCGAGTTTCGTAAAGCCTGAATTTCTGCATATCGAAATGTTGAGGAGGAGGAGGACGAGGTTCGTCTTCCAAGTGAGACACAGGCTCATTCTCTGAGGACGCCATCGTTGAAGTTTGGAATTTTAGATCCCCGAGCCTCAGGCTCAGGGTTTCTATCAGAATGGCATGCACAGAAGAATCAAAGCGAAGCACACAAATCTTCTATGGTGAAAAACTATTCGAAATCATTCACCTAATGAACCCCATGTGTGAATTGTGGGGTTTGGCTGCTTCAAATACAACATTTACAATCAAATTCCGAGCAAAAACAAAACCAAAAACAAAACCTTCAGCAGCAGACTTTGACCTTGCCTGTTCCAGCTCCTCCTCTTCCCATTAACAAAATCAGAGAAATTGAAATCTGGGAACGATTCAGCGGAAGTAAATATTGAGGGGCTCAAAACTCTGATCTTTAATCAAAAAAATCGAATAAAGCAGGCGGAGAATCAATTTTCCGAGATCGAATAATATAATTGCGCAAAATATGTAGGTAATAGGAATATATACGTATAATTCAGGATATTTATACAGCGAAAACGCAGAGACAGAGAGAGAAAGCGGAGGTTTTGAAAATGGAAGCTTTATATGGAAGGGAAAAGCGACGAGGAGAATATGAAGCAGAAAATTTTGGGGCGCAAAAAGATGATAAATACAACGAAAAATAAAAATTGTAGGAAAAATAGAAAGAGGTGTGGGAGGTTCGAGAAGAAAAGGGGGTTGGAAGACCAGAGCTGCCTCCTAGCTATACAAGAAATTACAAGCAACACAAAGGAACAGAGACCTAATTATTGAACATGTTATTTTTTTTATTTTTTATTTTTTATATATTTTGTATGGTTTGCTATTTTTCTGTTGTTGTTGTTCTAAAAGAGACATGAGAGAAAGGGAAGGAGATCTCACAGACCCAAACAAAGCCACAACTTGGGTGACCGCTCAGTCAGTCCACATATTATTCATATAGTTTTTTATATAATATATTTCATATAATTACTTGGCTAATTTCTTCAGCTGACCTTGCTTACTATTTTAATTCCTTTTATCAAACCACATTAATACCAATTATTCGAGTTAATTAATCTGGTTGACCCCGTTATCATTTCTCATTAGCCTCATTCTTATTATTACTCCTATGTCACCATTGTAGAGTAAATTTTAAAAGGTGGAAGGTTTGGATTTTTTTTTAACCTTTTGTAAAAACTTAATAGAGTCCTAATTAGACACCATCATGATCAATGTTAGAGGACGGTTAATTTGGACTTAAAATAACACAATAAAGATGCTTTCTTTTGGTTATGCAATAGGAGAGAGAAAATTTAGTGTGACATTTTACGCTATCATTTGTAGTGTTACTAATAAGTTAATGTATTATAATATGAACGAGTGACGTAATTGAGATGTCATGAACTTAGAATATAATATGAAAAATATCGAGTATGATGAGTCCCGTCATGATGTGCTAATATAAGTGCGGAACATTGTTAATATGTCATGAACCTAAGGTATAGTGTGATAAACTCCATAAACTAGAATCACTATTGAACAATTAACAAGTTACCCTCCAAAATCAATTGCCCTTTCATCTTATCCAGCGTAACCCCTCTCCTTAGCAACCCTTTTGATTCTAGGGGTTTCCCCAAGAACCAACCCTTTCAGCTATTAAATCAAACGCCTCTCTACCCCGTCATGTTGCAGAAAGATTTTTCATCCCATTTTTGTGTTGGGTTTTGTTTCTCCCTAGTTTTGTATTGGGTTTTCACCAGTCTTCTTGGACTGGCTTTTATGGATGTGGAGTTGTCAGATCTAGGTAGATCTTTCATTACTGGGGTGTTGTGGGATCATGTGGAATGTTGGAGGTGCTATGGTCTTCTCTGGCCATGTGAATGTTGAGCGGTAAGGCCCTTTTACTTTTGGTGACTCAGGTTCTCTGTTACAGCAAAATATGTTGTTTTACCATGATTTCTGAAGCACTGGTGCTGTCAGGAGTCTTATTAATCATCTAGTTTTCAACTGTTAGTGAGATGAGTTTGAAATTTCCATATTTTTTGTTCATTGTTTAGCTAAATTTACTTTGTCCAAATTTTGTATGCTCTACCTCCATTTGGGGTGTATTCTCATTGTAAATCTATTGTATTTGCTCATATTTCAACGAAATTATGTTGTTCTTAAAAAAACTTAGTAACAAGTTAACAACTTCATGTGGGTTGACCCGAATCCGACTCGAATTTGTTTCCTTGACAGTGTGAACACTACAAACTCGTAACAACCAAACAATCTGATAAAAAAAAAAAAACAAAGTAACAAGCAAACAAGTTTAACAACCCAAATATTTGTGATTGTGTCGCTCATATGACTTGGCATTGACTTGAATTGCCGTACCAGAAACAAGATTGTGAAATATATCAATTTTTTATAATTATTTAATTTTCTTAATAGTAGCATGCATTTAGACTTTGCTAAAACAAAAAAAATAAAAAATGCCGATAGCTTATATCGGTCGGTTGATATGATTTGATGTGCAGCGCAGTCATGAAATCAACGGGCCAGATTTCGTCCTTGACTCAGTTGTACCCACGATTGCCTGCCACTCCTCTCCCCAATAATTGATCCTTACCGTTCACATTACATTACATTGCCAAAGCCACATATAAAGTCAAATTTAAAAACCAAATAAAAATAAAATAAAAACGTGTTTCATAATTCATTAGGTTGCTCAATTATTAGTGCACCACTGTCCAATTGCCACGTGTACCATATGCAGCATCATTAACCAAACCGTATACTTTTCTTCTATGAACTACCTACCAAAACCCTAATAATTAAGGGAGTTTCACTAAAACACCCAAAATGGGGGCTGAAATTATAAAAAAACCCAACACCCAAAAACACTTTATAAACACACCCAAAAAATATACAATTGTTGATTTTGTGGTTGATTTTGGGTGTGTTTCTATGTTTAAAAAGTGTTTGGGTTTTTTTATAAATACATGTCTAGGATTTGGTTTATTTATAAATTTGTAAATAATTAATACATACAAGCACAAAAGAGGTTCTTTATTTTCATCACGTGCGTAATTATTGTTAATTTTAATTAATGGGGAAATTTTTGTTAATTGTTTTGAGCTCTGTTTTGCGTTTCTTAATGAAACTTGTTTCTGACGAAATTTTGTGTGTGTAAGGCCATCGTATGGAGGATTTTATAAAGAAGTATGTAAAATTCGAAGCCTACTTGTCGAATACTTAAGTGAAAAATAAACAAAATTTCTGAAACATCCTATGATAATCAAACGTTGTAGAAAATGTACTCAACCCGTACAATAGGAACAATAGTGACGTTGGTTTTTAGGCAAGCTTAAACTCTGGCCACATCTGTAGCAAAAAGTAGCTCTACACCTGCAAATAAACAGAAATTAATCCCATCATATAGATAGGGCAGTAATGGATCGATTCATATGTATATATTGAACAAAACAAGTTGAGTTTGGTCCAGTGAGGAGGCTTCTCTAGTCTCTACTTTTGTTGTTGTTGAGAATATGTTATTTAAATTGTTAATTATTAAATCAACGATTCTCGATTATGACATGTATATGGTGGAAGACAGGATTCACAAATATATTTATGATCATAGAAACTGACCTGCACTTCATGAAATTGCAACCGGTCTTCTTTTCCACATAAAACTTACAGTTGGGACATCTCTTCCAATCCTCCATGTTTGCAAGGTTCCTTAACTGGATGTCTTCCCTTCCCCTCTCATCGTCATTCAACTCCTGAAACTCCCAGCACTCCATCTCCGCGTGCCAAGCAACCTTACACTGTGCGCAGAAGAGCCTTTGACAATGCGGGCACTGAGACTGCCGCACAACCTCACTCCCATCATCATCAATAATCAACATCGCAGAGCAATCACTAAAGGGACAGTAAAACTTTTGAGAGCTGGGGATCGCAGCCTCACAAAGCAAGCTTTCCCACCTCTCAAACACTTCTTGGGGAAGTATCCAGTCACAATCCTCGGGCTCTATCGATCCTGATGCGCAATCAGGATCAGGGCACTGAATGGTTGTGACGTTCTCTTGAAGATTGGAGAACACGTAATTGACCATGCACTCCGTACAATAACCATGGCTGCAATTTTTGATGTCAAACCACAGGTGTGCAGCCTTGGGTTCAAAGCAGATATTACAGCCAAAATTATTATTAACAGCTCGGACGTACTCAATATTCTTCGAATCGGAAGGCTTCCCAACCTCATGAGAAACCCTAGAAGAAGCCATGAAGTTATTGTCATGAGCAACAATGTCGTCAACTTCTTCAGGAGTGTTGGGGGGATCGATATTTGATCTTGGAAATTCAACTTCTTCATCAAAATAATTTGGATCTCGTCTATTTTTGAAGGGCTCCCAAGAAAGCATAAATTCATTCAAGAGATCATCATCAGAAGTAACTTTTTTCTGGGGATTGATTGATCTTGGAAATTCATGAGTTTCTTCTTCATAATTATGATCAACGTAGACCCGACCTCCTCCGCTAGTTTCAAAGGGCATCAAATAAAGCATAAATCTTTCAAAAGCATCATCAGTGGAGAAATTATGTTCATCACTATTAGTTCTTACACCGTATGCTGGAGGAAGGAAACTCGATTTCTTCGTCTTTGTCTTCATGTTCATCTTCTCCTTCGTCTTCTTGGCCGCATCACTTGAGGTATTTCTTCGCATTTTGAATGGAAGAAGAGCCTTGATGTGCTGCAAGATTGCGCTGCACCACTTTTTGGAGGACTTCCTTTTTGGGGACAACCTTGTTGGGGATGACAAGGGTGTGAAGAACAAGTCATGATCATCTCCATCTGCATCATCATGTTTAACCTCCCCAAAGTTAACGTTCAAAAACGCCATATGAAACTGAGATTGAGACTGAGACTGCGACACTTTTTTTTTTTTTTCTCACCTTTGAGCTCTTAGTTTCTTGATCTTCTTAATTTATTTTAATACAAATTTATAAATAAACCCAATCCTAGACATGTATTTATAAAAAAACTCAAGCACTATTTAAACATAGAAACACACCCAAAATCAACCCCAAAGTCAACTTTTTGGGTGTGTTTATAAATGGGTTTTGAGTGTGTGTAATGATGGGTTTTGGGTGTGTTTATAAAGTGTTTTGGGTGTTGGGTTTTTTTATAATTTCAACCTCCATTTTGGGTGTTTTAGTGAAACTCCCTTCTTCTATATATATGTTTATTACTCTCAATATTGTATATGTCACTCAGTCACATATAACTTCCTCTTCTTAAGCTTATATATATATAAATATTAATGCGTTACTTGTAAGCTATCCCGAGTCCTAATTAGGTTACATACAATAAGTTGCCTTGATGTGCCTTTCTCTCTTCTACTTTCCTGTTTTTGCTACCTCTCTCTTCTTCTCTTTTCTTGCATGATGTGCAAGCTACGACTTTTGCATATTTAGCAGGTTAATTTCGGTACGTTGTGTTAAATTCCTGAAATTATAAGAAACAACTATCAATATAATAAGGAAAAAGATTGGCTTCTTAAAATTGAGGAGGAGCTCATTCTTACAATCAATGTGATTTTGACACATGTCAATTTTAAAAAAAAATTCTTTCTTCTTTTTTGTTGAAACTTTATTAATGTTGCTGGAATTTGATAAGCGTCAAAACTTCATTGGTTTTAAGGAGTTTAAGTTATCATTCAAAAATTAAAAATAAATATCAACGGCCGATCTTTCTACATTGAAATATCAATTGAAAAAATCATAGGCAACTTCCTACCCGCGGCACTTTGAGTTAGCTACATTTGAGCACTGAAAGTTGCTCTTTTGATTGCTTCAATCTAACCGGCAATCATGAGCTAGCAAGGTTGGCTATGGATTGGCCATATTTATGTTCGGAAAATATTATCGTGTATTCTAATCAATTATAATAAGAAAAATCA